ATGCACAGCAAGTGTGGTCGGCGCCCAAGAAACGACGTACGAGAGCAACACGAGAGTGATGGCGACGAACAGTGTGAGCGAAGCGCTCTGGCACGGCCGAAAGGTTCTTGACACCACGGGCAAGACCAGACTTTGCACGACTCATCCTCAGCTTTCCGAAGGGGGTGCTCTGGATCACTAATGGCAAAGGGCACCCCAGCGTCCCGCATGATATCGAAAGTCACCCGCTCCGCGGTAGCACACAGGGCACACAACTGAACATGACGGGCGTGCGACTCCAGGGAATCCCGGATGATGCGTTTCCAGGACGAGGCCGACTGACGAATCAGCACCTCCCAAGCCCCGAGGTCATCGTGGGGGTCCGGCATATCGTGCTTCCTAGAGTGGAACAGGCGGACCCACTGCAGATCGCTCAAAACCTGATGCCCCCAAGAACGGAATTACTCCTGACGACGCAGAGCAGCAAGAGCGAGGAGATGAGGAGGACCAGAGACCAGTAGTCGCCCAAACAGTCGAAGACGTTGAGCACTGAGCAAGGCAGGGACAGGCGGCTTCAGAACCTCCCCGAGAACAGCCAGGTTGTTGGCAGCTGAGCCGTCTCTCCGTGGCTGCTTGGAGATGGCACGATAATACCGAATAACGTCATCCTCGAGACCACGGACTTGCGCATCAGACAAGAAACCCCAAGTACCTGCCTGAAAAAGCTTCCCAGAGGTCACCAACGAGTCGAGCAGGACAGTGGCGACAGAGGGGTCGATGCTGGGCTGGCGAAAGATGCGCTTGCGCAAGCAAAGCCACACGCTCGCGCACGACCGCGTGCGGTGAGCCAGCTCCGGGCCCATGGGGCAATAGTCATCCTGAGTCGTCCCAAGATGTACGTACTGATGCACAGCATGCACCTCCAAAGTTCCTGAAAACTGGGTCGGAACAGTGAAGACGCCACCAAGTGTCTCCCAGAGCTGCTTTCTGGCCTTGGTGGACCCAGGACCTCTGAACTGGAACAGCATGGACGACTTTCCAACCTTGGTGTTGAGCCGGAACCCCCGAGCAGCAAAAGCATCGGCAATCTCGGCAGCAAGCAGTGGACCCAGAGTAAGCAACTGCTCAGCCAGTCCCCCATGCTATGAGACTGATGCACGGGGCCACGATGTTCAGATGATGCCTGTCCATTCTCGGCCATGGGCGCGTGTGCAGCAGTATGTAAACGCAAGACAATGCCCAGAGGTAAAAGCCTGTCACGAACAAGCTGCATAGTAGATGACATCACAAAGTTAACTACGACATCGCCAAGTTGCTGCCCGGGGCCCGACCCACGCTGGGGGAAGGCGATCGCGGTCGCATCCTGGACGTAAAACCAAGAGGGAGCATCGGCATCGGCGACCTGAGCACGCCGAAGGGGGGACAGTCCGCTGGGTTCCATCATGGGAGGGTTGCTGGCGATATACTCCTGTGGCTCTTGCGTGGCCTCTGGAGGCAGACCACAGGCCCGCAGCAGCACGGCTAACGATGCATCGTCGCTGGGAGTGCGCATAACCAACTCACGAACACATTTGTAGTAGGCCTGCACGACATCCTGGAACATGAGTAAAACCGAAGCCCTTCTAGATTCGGCCAGCTGCTGAAAAAAAAGCCTCAACTCCAGGGCCCCATGCTCGGTCCCACGGCCAGGCAAGCCCCCAAATTGTCGATCGCCAGCGACCGAGGCCAAGACCTGGAGGGTGTCCGCACGAGTGATGCTCCGAAACCGCTTACCAAACTGAGACGACCCCAGAATAGAGCGATAGCTCGATCGCTGAGAGGCAGAGCCAGACTTGAACAGCGACCAGTAGAACCCCCCCTTCCACTGGATGGGCTCGCAAACACGAACAGTGGCTTTCACGCAAAGCGGGTGCAAATAACGTGCGAGTTCAGCAGCAAACGAAGACACGACCTTTCCTGAGAATCCATCCGGGCCCGCCGCAGTGTCTCTGGCGCGCCTATACGAGGTCTCCAGCTGGCCGAGTGACGGGATTTCGCCCACCGTCATGGGGGCGTTCGTGAGCACGTCGGGAGAGAGGCGAGGAAGATGGTGAAAGAACCAGTCAAGATCCGAGAAGGGGATGACGGGCGCAGCTTCAACCTGACCAGAATGCTCAACCCAAGAGTCTGCAACAACAATAAAATCACGAAGAGGTTGACCGTCATGCCCATGGAGCAGAGGGTGCGGGCGAAATGACTTCTTGCGGCGAGAGCAGGCCCCCATGGCACGGAGCTTCGCAAACGCAATCTTGAAATCACGCCTGGACCAGGCGCTCGAAACCTCCGCCGCCAAGTCAGACGTGTGCTGCTTAGCATCCTGCTTGACGTGATAACTGACCACTGCCGCATGGCAATTCATGCCGATCGTGCGAAGACCCCAAGAGAGAGCTGCAACCCGCGACGCGGCACTCCAACAATGAGCAAGCCCAGCCGAAGTACCCGAGACGTAAGAATCAACACCAGATGGATCAGATACGTGGAAGACTGCACTGGTTGAATCAACTCCAGTAATATAGCCACAGAAGACATCGAAACTACCACCCAGCCGGGCAAGCAAATCCACAATAAGAGATGGAGCCTGCCAAAGCCGACCCTTAGTGCGACGAAGCCTTAGCTGACGGGCAGTGTCGAGCACCTCGCTGAGGGCCTGCACGATCGATCGGAGAACCCGATGAGACGATCGGAGTTGGCAAAGCCAAACTTGATGCGGCAGGCGCATGCGCCGAGCGGCAACGCGGAGGCGGTTGAGGCGGTGGCAATACCACGTGCCCCTGAATGGTAAAGCCCAGACGTGTAGCAGAATGGCCAACTTCTGACGAGTCATATAGACGTGTAGCTTGCGAAAGTCTCGAAGTAACTGCACTCTCCTGTCCATGGCCTCCAAGGACCCAATAGAAACCCAGGGTTGGCGAGGGGCACGGCCACGAGAAGTCGACCGAGTAGAGGGCGCTTCTTCCAGGGAAACCTTCAGGTGTCCAGCCAAGGCCTGAAAATGCTCGGAAGGAGGGGCCTGAAAAGACACACCAGGGCATCTGTTCAACGCCGCCGAGAAGTTGGCACGTGCTACAGGGTCCTCGAACAGGGCAGGATCACACTTGACCTTGTGAGCGCGGGAACCCTTGAGACACTTACCTGCAACGGGCATGCACGCCAAGACAGCTGCTGGAACATGGTCAAGCACGTTGATCGACAAGTCAACCTCATCCAAGACACGCTGCTTGAGAACCTGACATCCGAAAGAACATACCACGTAGTCCAGACGATGCCCCAAACTGCCGGACCGTCCAGGAGGAAACCATGTGCTGGCAGAAACCTGACCAGACTCCAGGAACGTAGAAGGCGCCCACAGATTAAGCTTACGCAAGTGCTGATGGAAATAATGCCCTGGAAGGTTTTCCCGAGCTGCTGCAACAGAGCCCACGTGCCGAGAGATGATGGACCCCAGACGAGCATTAGCATCAAGAAGGCCTACCAGCTCAGCGTCAGGAGACCGAACACGGGAAACAATATCAAAACAGCGACTCCACCATTGACGGATGAGTTCCGGAGGTGTCTTGCTGTGAGGTGCATGCCCGGCCACGACATCAATTCGAAATTGCTTCACAGCGATAGCTACGACTAGCAGGCGTGGCGCAGCGAACAAGACCCTGCAGTGGGACGGCAGCGCGCGCACACCAGGGAGAAGAGGGACAGCAATATTGACCCACAAAGAGCATCCGTACTTCCCTGAAGGCAAACACTGCGCATGAATGACATGATACTGGCCTACCTTGGACACGCCACTGCGAGGGTATCTGGTCTCCTGAGCGCCTACCAAAAACAACCCATGTCTGGCAAACATGTCCCCAAGATGGCGCATCCTGCCCGGCATGTGCAGCCCAGTCTTGCGACATGCCTTGGCGTGAACAGAGGCCTGCGAGTCAAACGCGAGCACGTTAGCAGATGCAAACCAAAGGGGGGAAGACTGCTGAGCACCATCGACAGGGGCAGCCTGCACTGAGGCGGCACCTAACATGTTTCTAAGGATGTTGGCAGGATCAGCGTCAGGAATGAACTCTGGCATGTCGGATCCTCCGAACGGCGGGTACTGTGATTGAACCTCTGGAGAAGACAAGAATAGCCAAGCCCATCGCAGAGTCGAGGCAGGCGATAAGCTGGCCCTCCACGAGCTGTCGGGCGCAGGAAGCTGGGGGTGCCCAGTAGAAGCCAGGTGAGCGACAGTGTCCACCAGCTCGTTCCAGGGATGACCAACGTGGCCCTCGATATGTTCCCAAGACAAATCCGGAACCAGGGCGCGCACAACCTTGGCCAGAGAATCCAAAGCCTCCCGATAATACATCCACGACTGAGCCAGGGCGCCTCCAGAGGCAACTGTGAGAGCTTCTAAGCAATCGCCGAATACCGTGACAGGAACATCCCAGAGACAGCACCCCGATTGTAATAGCCAAGCTAGGGCCCATTGGGCCGCCACAATCTCAGCGACCAAAGGTGCAACACAATGGGGGGCAGCGTCTGGATCCAGAGAGCCTCCCAGAAACCCAGCCAGATACCCTCGATCAAAGGCGTCGTAGTACAAGACAGCGAACGACCATGCAGGAGGCCCATGCACGGAATCTCGAGAGGCACCTCCAGAGCCATCAGTATACATATGGATACGAACCACTTCGCCCAAGTCTCCAGATGAGCTGAGCAGCGGGAACTCGTTCACCGTAGTCGAAGGCCGCTACTTGGCAAACACATGGGTATGCCTGCAGAGATCCTGAGACCAGGGACTAAACAGACATTGTGGTGTGACCCATTTCCTGTGCCGTGGGGAGGGGCTGTGGGAGCACCCACGAACCCCTAGTTGAGAGGCCCCAGCTTCAGCAGGAGGAGCCGGGACACCAGGATAGCCCGGATGGGGGGACGGTGGTGGGACATCGGGAGGGGCAGTTGACAGCCCACGGCCTGTCTCTGCCTGCTGTGTCCCCCGTCGGGCTAGCGAAAAGACTGGGTGGGCAGGCCGATGGCGTCGCCCACGTCGGCGTCCTGCATCTCGTCCGAGTCGGCGAACTCCTCGACGGGAATCCCGTCGGCTGGGAGGCGCTGGGACTTGTAGGGCGGCTCGCAGAGCTCCTCGTCGCCAGACCCCGCAGTCGCAGCAAAACGTCCTAGAGCGGACCCGAGGGCGACCTTCCCGGGCGCGTTGGCGACGGCACGCTGCCACGCCGCCTTCTTCTTGGCAGCCTTGTCCACAGCTGCTGACATGGCTGCCGCCGCCATCGCCTTGGCCCTCCCGCCCCTGCCATCGCCGCCAGCGGCCTCGACGCCAGAGGGCAGGTCTGGTGGGACTGCGGCGGCGGGCGCAGCGGCAGCAGGAGGCGCTGGCCCGAGGCCTGCAGCTGCCGCAGGGCGAGGCGTGGCAGCAGCAGCGGCTCCCGTCATGAGGGCCAGGCTGCCCTGGATCTGGGCCATGGTGGCCGCCAGCGTCGAGAAGTCGGCGACCAGGTCGGACTGGGACTTCTGCAAGTCGGCGATGACCTGTGGTATTGCTGGCGACGTAGTCGTCGCTGGAGAGGCACTGGATTGTGTAGCCTCTCTGAATGGGGAGGCACCTGTATGAGCAAACGGCGCAGCCTCCGGCCCCGCGAAGGCCACCTGCTTGATCTCCTGCTCCGCGAGCTCCTCGAACTTGCCCAGCGCCGCTCTGGCCTGCTCCAGGTCGGCGGCGAGCGCCTGGCGATGGACAGTGGCAGCCTGCAGAGCCGTGGCGGCCTTGGTCTCCTCGACCTCGGCCTGCTCGAGGCGGCGCTCGGCGCGCTCGACGTAGGAGCGCTGGTTCGCCGCCCGCTCCTTGGCTGGGTAAGCGAACAGGTACATGAACTGCAAGACGCTCAGCTCGAGCTCCAGCGGCGCCAGCTGGGGGCTCTCGGCGTGCAGGGTCTTCTGAGCCACGATGCGCTTCTCCAGCGCTGACACTGCCTCCTTCAGGGCAGCACGGTGCTTTGCCCTCTCCGCCGCCGCAGCGGGAGGGTCGACCCACATGGGGTGTGCCCTGGCAACTTCCATGGAGGCGATCTTGGTCGGGGCAGCGTGACCCGCGGGCGGCGGCCTGGAGGCTCCGCGGGTCTGAGGCTGCTCTGGTGTGCCTTGGCTCTGGCCAGGAGGGTGCGGCGCCTGCTTGTTGTCCTCGGGCCCTGACGGGGCCGACGTCGAACGAGGAGAAGGCGAGGACGGATAGCATACACCACACCAGCGCCCGGTATTGCGAGCACCACACTTTTGGCAGAACCATGCCTCGCGGGCCGCAGCGCCTCGGCGCGCGCGGAACGGGGACCGCGCCCATGGCGGCCCCATGGCAGAGTGCTGAAGACGAAGAAGTCGTACTGCAGAACGAACGCGGAGTAGAGTCCGTGCCTGGCTGCGGGCCAGGCGGGCTCTGCGGTGCCAAGCGGGCTCAGGAGGCCTGAGCGCCCGGCTGCCGCGCGCCGTGGCACGGCCCGCTGGGGCCTGACGGCGCGCGGCGGGGACGGCTGGCCGCCGCTATCGCGGCGCGCGCGGGGGCCAGCGCGTGACCGACGTCCTGTGGGGCTCGCGGTTCCCTGGGAACCGCACCCGAAGCCCTTAAGCCAGACGGCGGCTGGAGGAGGGGGAGGGAGGGGGGAGGAGAGGAGGAGGACGAGGAGGAGGAGGTGGAGGAAGAGAAGGAGGACGAGGAGGAGAAGGAGGAAGAGGAGGAGGAGGAGGGAGGAGGAGGGAGGAGGGAGGAGGGCGGCATGCCCTTCAGAGGAGCACGGGCGAGCAAATCTAGCTCCGTCGCCATGCTGCTCAACGTCGCGTCGGCGTCGGTGCTGGCGTCGATGCTGGAATACGCGCTGGCGCTGGTGCCAACGCAGGCGCCGGAGTTGGTACCAGGAGGAGGAAGAGGAGGAGGTGGAGGGAGAGGGAATGCTGGTGTAGGCGCCGGCGCTGGTCCTGATATCGGTGCAGCCCGTGACGCTGTCCACGATGCTTGCGTCGATGCTGCAGTAGGCGCCGGTACTGGCGTCAATGCTGGCGTCGACTACGGTGTAGGTGCTGGCGCTGGTGCCGGCGTAAGTTCCGGCGTGGGCAAATGCTGGCGTCGACGCTGCTGTAGAACGGGACCGTTTCGGTTGCCACGGCATGCCCGTGCAGCAGTAGACAGAAGCAGTATAGCAGCAGCTGCGTAGGAAATCCAGTGGTGCACACAGTGTGCGCGCATGCGCACTGAGGGTTGTATAAGACTGGGTGTTGTCGAAGGCGTTAGGTGACCATCCCTGCTTGGTGCGAGCCGCGACTGCAGCTGAGTGATATATGTTCTCTCCATTTCGTATCATCCAGAGCCTGCGTTGTCACGGCTTCCGACCTCGTGCTCTCGAGGGGGGGCATGCTTTGTCCGCCAGCTCCTTGTTCCATGTGCGGCGCCTCCCGCTTTGCGAGAAGGCCTGCTGGGCACCTGCGGCCCGGGGGCCTGGACGTCCCGTCGCTCGAATGGTTGCGATCTCTCTCCCTCTCTCTCTCTGTCGCCAGATCCAGATAACTCGCCCCTTGTCCGCTTCGGACGCCGAGGAGAGCCGTTGCAGAGTTGCGGGAGGGTTCAGGGTCCCAAAAACCATCTTGTGACGGACCGCGCTGTAACCTCTAAACCCCCAACGACCTCACCGCGCGGTCCGACACCACACGGTTCAGTGTCCATGGAGGCCCCAGTCGTCCGAGACACCCTCAGAGAACAACCCAAGTCCTGAGACTGCGCGGTGATCCCGAATCCTCACTGGCTCACCACGCAGTTAAGCAGTCTCGGAAACATCCCGATCCCTCGGATCGACCAACCAAGAGGCGATGACAATCTTAGGGGTGCGCCCTTAGAAACTCAGGGAACCCCTGAGATCGGCATCGAAATGAGGCGATACCAATCATCCAGGATTCCGCGGGTTCGTTTTGCGACTGCCATCAGCGCTGGTTTCTGACACCGCGTGTATCGTTCAACCTCGAACGATTGGCAGCATTCTGACGGCGCAGGTCATTCGATACCGGCCGATTCGGGGCCTCTGGCGGCGTTCAACCTTGAACGCCAGTGCTCGGGTCGCTGCTGGTCGAGACGACGCGAAGCCGCCGTCGGGGCATGCTCCAGGCTGGTGAGCGGCGTGGTCACCACACCGTTCGGAGGCCCCCAAAGAGTTGTGGGGAGGCGGGACGAGTTGGATGAGTTTTGGGAGGGGGGGGGCAGCTGGCCGCGATCGCGCGCGCACGCAAGTGGCGTTGCCGGGCCGCGGGCGTTGCCCCGCCACAGCGCTGCGAGGCCCTCGCTCGCGACCAGGTCGCGGAGTGCCCTGTTCACGCTCTGGTCGGCCACGAGGCCGATCTTCAGGCGCCCCTCGCCGGAGAGCCTGGGCTCGCTCTCTCTCTCTCTCTCTCGCTGTCTGTTTCTCGCTCTCGCTCCCTTTCTTCTACTCCTCTTCCTCCATGTTCCTTCACCTTCCTCCCTCTCCTCCTCATCCTCAGCTTCCGCCTTTAATGCCCCGCTTTCTTGTTTCGTTTTTCTCCCTCTCTCTCTTCTCTGTCTCTCTCTCTCTCTCTCTTCTCTATCTCTCTCCCTCCCTCTCCGCCTCCCACCCTCCCTCTCACTCTGTAATCTCCATGGGATTGCTCTGTCACGTGTTCTTTCGGATGGGCTCGGGGCGACTCTTGCTCAAGAGGAGGTCCTGCCCCAATATAGCATGCACCAAAGGACGCGGGAATACGCCAAGCGAGATTGAACTACACTAGCCAAGTCAATGCATCGAACCGTGGCTTGGGAGAGCTGGCGACAACGTTGCGTGTGTGTAGCCCCAGTGGCCCAAACTGTCAAGTCTGTAGAGCCAACACCGCGAAAACGCAAAGAGAGGAGGGAAGCGGAATGAGAGGGCAGAGGGGAACAAAGCCTGGCAAAGGGAAACGAAGCCCAGCCGGCAACCCGAAGGAGCGGGAGCCCCACACGCCGAAAACAAACTCTGCCAGGAACGTGCACTGCGTGTATATACCCCCCCTGGCGCCTTGGCCAGTGGTATGCCACACAACCGAAGCACGCTTGCTCAGGAAAACTGCTCCCTTCACTGGGAGCCAAAAAAACACGAGAGCCATGAATCCGCTACCCTGGTCTCGGCACGTTGGTGTGCGGTAGAACCTGATCTGACAAGAACAGGGAGCGCTGAATTTGTGAATTGGGCTCAGGAGGAGAAGGAGAAGAAGGACGACGACGACGAACAAGGACGGTTAGGAACCCGATGATAAGGACGTCGAAGAAGATAGGGGCCCCCGTGATCTTGTAAGGCTACTCTAGGGGCTGTTGGGTCCGCCTGGGGCTATGTTGGGGCATCCTGGTGGCCTGTCGGTCACCTCAAAACGGGTGACATTAGGTCAATGCCCCCTGGAATAACACAAGCCTCGTAGAGTGCGTTTTGGGTCCTCTTTCGGGCCTCTTGGGTGCCATTTTGGGGCCGTTTGGGGGCCCCTTTTGGGCCTCTTAGGGCCTCCTAGGGGCCTCTTGGGGCGGAAGGCTGTTGGGTCTCTCTTGTGCCGTCTGAGGGGTGCTTGGGGTGATCTGTCGCCGTCTTGGAGACCTCTTGGGCCGTCTTGGTCTCGAAGCAATGCGTTTTCCGGGAATCCAGCGGCGAGGTCCGGAATGGGACCCGTGCCCCTTGGTCAGAGCAAAAAAGCAACGCTTTGCCGCAGAACCAGCGGTCCACGCCAGAGGCGATTCCCGTAATACCAGTACGCCCGTTGGCTGTCTGGCAGGCTTCCTCCAGCTTTGAAGGGGCGTCCCCACTCCTCGTCGCGCGCACCCTCGAACTCCCTCCCAGTCTTGATCTATCTGTCTCTCTCTCTCTCTCTCTCTCTCTTTCTATATATATATATATATATATGTATATGTATATATGTATCGTCATTTGCGACCCCTCTGCGGCCTGAGAACAAGACATGACTGCCCTGAGACGGCTGCAAG